AGGGTTGATATGTTGTGGGGTTGTTAACCAATGTCATAAAACAACATGTGTACTACTGTTTCATGAGAAACTATTTGTTCTGTAAGCCTTCACCTGAAATACAATAAAAAAATAAAAAAAAATAAAAATCAAGGCCCATGGCTAACATCATACTCAATAGAGAAAGACTGAGAGCTTTCTCACTAAGATCAAGAATAAGACAAGGATGACCACTCTCACCACTCCATTCAATACTGTAGATGGGCCAGAAACAAATAAATAAATAGAAGGTATTCAAATCGAGAAGGAGGAAGTAAAACTATCCCTTTTAGCAGATGACATGATCCTATACATAGAAAACCCCAAAGATTCTATAAGAAGCTATTAGAACTAATAAATGAATTCAGCAAAGTGACAGGGTATAAGGCCGAGGCAAAAATCAGTCGGGTTTCCCCAGCAATGAGCAAGGGAAAAAGAAAATTAAGGAAAAGTTATCATTTACAATAGCATCTAAAAGAATAAAGTACCTAGAAATAAATTTAACCAGGAAGGTGAAAGGCCTGTACAAAGAAAATTATAAAACATTACTAAATTACTAAAAGAAATTAAAGAAAACCTAAATAAATGGAAGGACATTTCATGTTCATGGATTGGAAGGCTTAGTAAAAGATGTCAATACTACTCAAGCAATCTATAGATTCAGTGCAATCCCCCACCAAAATTCCAACAGCCTTCTTTGCAGAAATGGAAAAGATAATCTCCAAATTTAAATGGAACAGCAAGAGATCCCGAATAGCTAAAGCAATCTTGAAGAAGACTAAAGTAGGAAGAATCACATTTCCTGATTTCAAAATATACTACAAAGCTACAGTAATTAAAACAGCCTAGTACTGGTGGCACAGTGGTTAAGAGCTTAGCCGCTCCTTGGAAACCCCATAGGGCCGTTCTACTCTGTCCTACAGGGTTGCTATGAGTTGGAATCAACTCTATGGTGATGGGTTTGTTTTTGTTTGTTTGTTTGTTTAAGTACTGGTATGATAATAGACATACAGACCAATGAAATAGTACTTAAAAGTCCAGAAATAAATCCATACATCTAGGGTCAACTGATTTTCGACAAGGGCACTATGTAAGTTCAGTCAATGGGGAAGGAAGAATCTCTTCAATAAATGGTGCTGGGAAAATTGGATTTCCACACACAGAAGAGTGTATCAGGATCCATGCCTCACACCATACATAAGACCAATTCAAAATGGATCAAGGACCTAAATATGAAAACCAAAACCATAAATTCTTAGTAGAAAATGTAGAGGGGAGGATGTGGGACCTAGTGTTTAGCTATAGATTATCAGATATGATAACAAAAGCTTGAACAGCAGAAGACTAAATGAGACCTCATAAAAATTAAATACTTTTGTATATCAAAGGACTTTATCAACAAAGTGAAAAGACAATCTATAGATGGGGAGAAAATTTTCGGGAACCATACATCAAATAAGGGCCTCATGTCCAAATATATATAAAACTTCTACCACTTAACAACAGAAAAATAAACAACCCAATCCAAAAATGGGCAAAAGACTTCAACACAGATCACCAAAGAGGATACTCAAATGATCAATAAACACATGGAAAGATGCTCAACAACATTAGCCATTGTTGTTGTGGTGTATCGTTGAGTCAATTCTGGCTCATAGTGACCCTACAGGACAGAGAACTGCCTCACAGGGTTTCCTAGGCTGTAACCTTTTTTGTTGTTGTTGTTGTTGTGCTTTAAGTGAAAGTTTACAATTCAGTCTCTCATACAAAAATTCTTACATACATTGTTATGTGACCATAGTTGCTCTCCCTATACTGTCACAGCACACTCTTCCTTTCCACCCCGGATTTCCCGTGTCCATTCAACCAGCTCCTGACCCTCTCTGCCTTCTCATCTCACCTCTGGACAGGAGCTGCCCATTTAGTCTAATGTATCTACTTGAGCACACTCTTCACGAGTATCATTTTATGTCCTATAGTCCAATCTAATCTTTGTCAGAAGAGTTGGCCTTGGGAATGGTTATAGTTTCGGGCTAAAAGAGTGTCTGGGTGCCATGTCTGCCAGGGTCCCTACAGTTTCTATCAAACCATTAAGTCTGGTCTTTTTACTAGAATTTGAGTTCTGCACTCCACTTTTCTCCTGCTCCACAACACTCTGTTGTGTTCCCTGTCAGGGCAGTCATTGGTGGTATCCGGGCACCATCTAGTTCTTCTGGTCTCAGACTGATGAAGTCTCTAGTTTATGTGGCCCCTTCTGTCTCTTGGGCTAACACTTTCCTGGTATCCTTCATTCTTGTTTACTCCAGGTGGGTTGGGACCAATTGTTGCATCTTAGATGGCCACTTACTACCTAGGCTATAATCTTTACAGGAGCAGATCGCCAGTTCTTTCCTCCCACAGAGCTGCTGGTGGGTTCAAAGCACCGACCTCTCAGCAGCCAAGCACTTAACCACTGTGCCACCAGGGCTCCTCAGCTATTAGCCATTACGGAGATGCATATCAAAACCACAATGAGATATTACCTCACTCCCATTAGAATGGCAACGATCAAAAAAAAAACAAAAACAAGTGTTGCCGAGGTTGGGGAGAAACTGAAACCTTTATCCACTGCTGGTAGGAATATAAAATGGTACAGCCATTGTGGAGAACAGTTTGACAAAAGTTCCTCAAAAAGGTGAACACAGAACAACCATACGACCCAGCAATCCTAATCCTAGGTATACAACCAGAAGCCATGAAGGCAGGAAACCAAACAGAAATCTGTACATCAATGTTCACTGTAGCACTTTTCACAATAGCCACAAGGTAGAAACAACCTAAATACCCATCAACAGGTGAATGAATAAACAAAATGTGGTACACACATACAATGGAATACTATTCAGCCATAAACAGAAATGAAGTTCTGATGTATGCCACAATATGGATGAATCTTAAAAACATTAAGCTAAGCAAAGTCAGTCAGTTACAAACAGATATACACTGTATGATTGAGACAAGCAAATAGATAAAAACCAAAGATTATTAATGGTTATCAGAAGTGGGAGGGAGGGGGAAAAGGAGTTTTTGTTTGGGGGGCACTGGGTTTATGTTTATGGCGGTGGAGTATTTTGGAAAGGATGCAAGAATGGTGGCACAACATGAAAAATGTAATCACTGTCATAGAATTGTAAATGTGGAAGTTGTGCTGATGAGTGTTTTAGTGTGTATATTTTCACCAAAATTTAAAAATAAATAAATAAATAAAAGAATATGGCAGAGTTCAAAGGCAGGAAAGGGTTCTAAAACCAGTCAGTGAGTGGTCACAGCTAAACATAACGAAACACCAGTGCTGAATCAGGAGCATCTGGTAGGGATGGATGTTTGTGGTTAGTCCCACACCTGGAGGCAAGGTTTGAGAAGAGCTAGAAAAGACGTTCTAAGTTAGAGGAAAATGCAATATGGGAAGCACTGGAGGCCAAATAGGACAGAGAATGAGAACAGGTTTTGCCAGAGACAGAATCAAAGTTGAAGAAAGGCTGCAGCACAAGAGCAAGGAGAAAAAGCAGTGATGAAGGGGAAGCAAAGGAGTCAGCAGAAACAGCAGAAGGGAACCTGGGGGCAGCCGCCCAGCTCACCTTGCAGGTGGCGTGGTTCAGCATCTCCTGCCATGTGGGGTCCAGCCGGTTCTTGTCAGCCATCACGCCCTGTTCAGCTACAAACACCATCTCCCGCGCAGCGTTGTGCATGCTCACGGCCCGCTCGTACCGTAGTGCAGCCTTCTGGGTCTCCTGCTGGGCCTGGGGGAAGAGGACTATCAGGATCACAGACCCCTGAGGGGACCCCACAGCCCAGAGCTCTAGGATGAAAGGAAGCCATAGGCTTCACTTCCCAAACTACACTAAAGACCAATGCCAAGGAAGCAACATTCTATAAAGAATCTTTTTAAGAATAGAGACAGCAAGAAGAAACAAAGACTGAAAAGAATGAAAATGCCAGTGGAGGGTGTGTATGTAAAAGCCAGCACTCTCAAAGGCTGCTGGCTAGGGAGAACAAAGGAAGCCCAGCACCACTCTCTCTGAAGGTAGTTAGCAACATGGATCAAGTCTTAGGAAAAGTCCACCCCCTGGAACCAGCAATTTCAAATCCAGGGAATTAGCTTAAGGAAGTAATCAGACAAGTGCTCAGAGACATACATCACAGCATGCTTAACCAAGCAAAACATGGAAAACATTCCTAAGTTTTCAATTACAGAGAATTGGCTAAAGGAATTACAGGAAGTGTAATATAAGGAGGCATTCCTGGGTGGTGCAATCAGTTAAGCATTTGACTGCTAACCAAAAGGTTGGTGGTTTGAGTCTACCCAGAGGCGCCTTGGAAGAAAGACCTGGCAATCTACTTCCAAAAAATCAGACATCGAAAACCCTATGAAGCACAGTTCTACTTTGACACACATGGGGCTGCCATGAGTTGGAGTTGACTCAACAGCAACTGTTTTTGTTTTTTTTTTAAAGTGGGGAATTGATGGCTCAGTGGTAGAATTCTTGCTTTCCATGCAGGAGACCCAGGTTTGAGTTTCAGCCAATGCACCTCAGGTACAGCCACCACCCCTCCATCAGTGGAGGCTTGCAGGTTGGTATTATGCTGAACAGGTTCCAGCAGAACTTCCGGTCTGAAAAAAACTAGGAAGAAAGGCCTGACAATCTACTTCTGAAAATTAGTCAACGAAAACCCTACAGTTCACAACAGTCCAATCCACTACTAATCGTGGGGATAGCACAGGACTGGGCAGCATTTTGTTCCATTGTGCGTGGGATCGCCATAAGTAGTGGCCAAGTCGACAGCTAACAACAATACAAGAATATCTTAAGCAGTCCTTAAAAATGATGGCATGCCAAATGTCTATCAACAGATGAATGTGGTATATCCATGCAATGGAATATTACTCATCTGTAAAAAGAAATGAAGTCCTAATACGTGCTCCAACATAGATGACCCTTAAAAGCATTATGCTGAGTGAAATAAGTCCATCACAAAAGGACAAATATTGTATGACCCCACTTATATGAAATATCTAGCATAGGCAAACGCATACAGACCAAAGTTCATCTGCGGTTACTAGGGCCTAGTGGGAGGAGCAAGGGGGAAGTTATTGCTTATGGGACACTGAGTTTCTGTTAAAGGTAATTTAAAAAAATTGGAAACAGGTAGTGGTGATAGTTACACAATATGCTGAACATAATTAATATGACTGAATTGTACATATAAAAAATGTAGACATGGAAGATGTTTTGTTATACATAGATTTACCACAATTAATAAAAATGATGGCATGGGTGTATATTTATTGACATGGAACCACATCATCATGCTAAATAAAATAAAGGAACAGAGAAGCATATATTGTTTAATCCCATTTTGGCAGAATATGTACCAAAATGTTTTTTAAAAAGTGGTTATCTGGGCATGGTAGGATTTGAGGTGATTTTAGTCGTATCTTGCTTTCATTATGGTCTTCCGATGATGAACACACATTACTTACATAAGAAAAAGAAGTAGGGGGAGGGGGTGAAGGAATGGGAGAGAACAAAGAAAAGATGCAGAAAAGAGAGATGTGAACCAAAGGGAAGAGAAGCAAGAAAGAGAGAAGAAACGGGGAAAAAATGAGAATCACAGAATGTTGGAGCTGGCAGTATCTGATGCATCATCAAAGCTTGGTTCCTCACACACAGAAGATGCATTACAAACATCACCTGGCTGAACCAAACCCTTCCACACCCAACCCCTGCCATTCCATAGAGGATGAGCTCAAATACCACAGTGGTAAAAGAATCTCCTCAGATCACAGAGCTCATCCAGCACAAAGCTTGTCCGGCCCAAAGCTGGGTCGGACATAGCACTCTGCCCTCCAGTCTAGGGTTCCATCTCACCTCCATGCAGAGAGAGGAGTCTAGGGCCCTGCTCTGTGTGCACCCCTACCCTCCCTGAAAGCAGTCAGCCAAGCCGTACCTCCTTAGCCAGCCTACGTGCCTCATAGTAGGGCCGGGCCTTCTCAATGCAGCTCCCCAAGTGGGAGCCCTGCGTGTTGAGCTTCCTCGCTGATTCCTGCAGGATCCTTCGATAGGTGGTCCGGGCCTCCTGGCAAAGAGAGACAGACATGGGCAGAGGGAAGGCACGTGCGTGGGTCCTGGTCCCTTTCCCCTGCCACTGTATCTATCATACATGGAGGGAGAAAGACCAACCCAAGGATGGGAGAAAAAGGAGAGACACTCACATCCAGCTGTAGCTCCACCTGGTTGATCTCCTCGCTGGCCTGGTTCAGATGTTCCAGCTCCTCCTGTCACAGAGAGGCAGAGAGTTACAGAAGTCAGGAAGGACACAGCCTCCCCATGACTGTGCAGGGGTAGGAGAGCTAAGCACAGAGAGAAAGCCCCTACCCCTACCAGAGGAAGGGGAGGAGAGAGACACAGGAAAGGCAAGAGGAGAAATGAGGAGTACAGTATGTGTTGAATACCTCCTTGTCAGAGACCTCATACCCAGTCTCGTGTCATCCTCATAACTCTACATTTGTACTAAATGTTAAAATCCTCTTTTTAAAGACGAGGAAGCTAAGGTTCAGGAAGGTAGCTCCCTTATGCACACAATGAAGTAGCAGAGAAGCCCCCACTCTCCGCATCAAACTACACTACCTCCAAGCACACCAACCAGGAGAGCGGCCTTGGAGCTAAAGGTCTCTGTCCCAGACAGCACGACTTCCAGGCCAGGGCATGGCCCACTCACTCAGCACATGTCTGCTAGGCATTTATCACAGCTCAGCAACATGAATGACATAACCAACAGGTGCTCAGTAGTGCGAGGAGCCCTGGAGGGCTGTGCATGGGTATGAGAGAGGGCAGCAGGGTCACCTACCTGGCAGCAGAAGGCCAAGGTGGGATGCCCGGAAAACTTGCTCCCAGGCCAGAAACCTAGATGGATGTACAGAAAAGCACCAGGGAAGGGGAGGGGACTGGGGAACCAAAGAGGGAGCAGGTGCTCCAGGCAGAAAGGTTGGCAGGTGAGAAGACCACTGTGGCTGGGGCACGGGGGAGGGGACATCAGGTCTTTTCCCCACGGCAGCAGGGAGAACTTCAGAGCCTGGTGCCATCAAGTTTGCCGGCAGGACCCAGCACAGGGTATGCATGCTGACCAACACCTACACATGATCTGCACTCCTCAGAGACAACACAATCACCTCTCACTCATTTGGCTGGTGATATGACAACCTCAATGGGCACTCTCAACAATTTCATGAGGTGGTCAGACCAGGAAGTATAATTCCTCATTAATCGTTCTATTTTTATACCTCTCCCTGATGCTGGAGGGGCCCTGGTGGTGCAGTGGTTAAGTGTTTGGCTGCTAACCAAAAGGTCGGCAGTTCAAATCCACCAGCTGCTCCTTGGAAACCCAATGGACCAGCTCTACTTTGTCCTATAGGGTCCCAAGAGTTGGAATCAACTCGACAGCAATGGGTTTTTTTGTTTTGATACTGGAAAGATTTGAGTTAGCAAGTAAGAATATGGGAACCAAGACATACACATTAGTCACTGTGGAGGAATGAAACAAAGGTGGAAACATAAAATGGAACCAACTGTGCCCGCCACAACAATGTAGACCCTGCTTTGGGACAGCCATTAATCTGGCTCTAAACTTTCTAGAACAAAGCTGTTCAGAAGAATTACAGTGCAAGTCACATGTGGATTTTTTTTTTTTTAACATATGGAATTTTAAATTTTCTAGTAGCAGCATTTAAAAAAGTAAAAACAAGGTGAAACTCTAATATATTTCATATAACCCAATATAATCAAAATATTATTTCAACATGTAATCAACACAAAAAATTATTAACTACATCTTTTGCATTTCTTTTCTGAACTAAGTCTTTGAAATCCAGTGTGCATTTGACCCTTACAGCACATCTCAACTTGGACCAGCCATGTTTCGAGTAATCAGCAGCCACATGTGGTACATGGCTCCCTTACTGGACCACACTGGTTTAGAAGTTGAGGCATGATGGCAATATGATTCATCACACAACTCAGTGTCCATAAGAAAAAAAACAAGTTTTCAGGAGAGGCACAACCACTCTGGACTCAAAGGCAGCAGACACTATTCAGAGAGTCCTCAAGGAGGCCCTGGGTAGCAGCACCAACACCACCCCGAGGAACAGAACTTCGAATTGTACAGTACTGTTTCTAAGGAGGAGCCCTGGTGGCAAAACGGTTAAGAGCTCGGCTACTAACCAAAAAAAGGTCGGCAGTTCAAATCCACCAGTCGCTCCTTGGAAACCCTATGGGGCAGTTCTACTCTGTCCTATAAGGTCGCTATGAGTCAGAATCAACTCGACCACGATAGGTATGGGTTCCTAAGAAGGACCGTCACCATCAGCTGATGGGATCACTCCACAGGGCCCTCAGAAAAGACAATTCCCTTGTCAGGGTGAGAGGCAACATGATGCCAAGCAAATGCCCAGCTTCCTGTGACTCAACTTGATCCAAAGGGAGTTTCAGACTATCTAGGAGGAGAAGCGACTCTGTCCTTTCAGCAGCCCCTCCTGAAGAATCTCTTTCTCAACCATTTGCATTTCACAGATGAAAAACAATGGGTGATTTGCCCAAGGCACAGAAGGTAATTAGTAACAGAAGTTGGGTCTAGATTCAGGACCTGACCTCTGATCTCACTTTTCTGCCACTGTGCTACTACTCTCTTGGGACTAAGGATGGCCCTGATGGACTCCTTCGAGAAGACAAGGAGTGATGTCACCTATGAAAACTGCAGCACTGGTGGGAAATGGATCAGCTCAGAAATGCAATAAACACTGGCAGAGGAGGGGTAAGGAAGGGAGTCAAGGCAAGTGAAGAGGCCATGCTGGAATGTTGATGTGGGCAAACCAAGGTCCAAGATTGGATCTCCACTCTGTTCCACGGCTCAAACTGCTCCCATTCCCTGACTCCCAAGGCTGACAAATTCATCAGAGGAATGAATGGCTCAGCATAAGCCATCCCCACAGAAAAAATGACTTGAAGGGCTCTTGCTATTGGCAATGGGTTGGAGTAGGTATCGTCTTTTTATATGAGACTTGCACCCCCATTGCACCTCAAAGCAATTAAAAAGCCTTTTGATGATATAAAAATTAACTTCCAGGAAAGTTAGTAGGTCTGCCCCTCAGAGTCACAAAGTTCTTTCTAACAAGACAAGGAAATGACTGGAGAGTAGACTGGGAGGGGCCTGTAGGGATGGCAGGGGCAGAGACAGCCAGACTGAAGCAGACCCAGGGCAAGGCTGGGTGGTATATTCCACTTGGCCAGCTCCCCCAGAGACTTCTGTCGCTCGGTGAACTGGAACTGTGAGTCAGCACACATCATCCATCATTGAGCCAGCAGCCAGGAGGGGTGACCTTCCCAGAACACACAAGGTGCATCCCCAGGATGCCAGGTCACTGAGCCAAATGCTTGGGTGCTAAAGCTACAAATGCTTCTACCCCACCTAGTAAAGAAGATCAAAGGATTCAAACTGATTGTCAGTAGGTGGGGGGAAGGTGGTGCATGACCCAAGAACATGGAAATGAAGGAAGTAAGACTGTCCTGTGGGTCTCAACGCTGCACTTCTGGATGAGAACATAGAAGCTGCGAGGAAGACTAGACAATAATCTGAGTGTATCAGTGTGTCTAAGAAAAAAATGTGCCCATCACAAAGGGGCTGGGTAATCAAAGAAAGTCACAGTAAACACAGGATCCACTCTCCTTCCTTCCTTCCCTCCTCTGGAACCCTCTCAGAAAGCCGAGATCAACCTGGAGACTTCAGAGAACTGTCCTGAGATCATGACACAGGGGACACAGTCAGTGGCCTTCCCTGGATGCAGCGCCCACTCCAGGTCAGCTGCCAGCTTGCTTTCTTCCAACTTCCAGAGAGATCCCCCCAGACAATGTGGGTACAGGGTTGCCTGCTTGCCAAGGAACCATATTCCCACTTCAGAAAGAGCCTCACCCTAAAGGCAACCTCTCCTAAGAGCTTCAGGAAGCACAAGAGCAGGGTCCCGGCCTTTGGGATATCCTTAGTCTGGTAGATTAGCCCTGGCTGCATGTTAGAATCACTTCATGTGCCACTCAGACCAAGAGAATCCATGTCTGGGAGCAGCTCGAGAATGAGTGTTTTTAGAGCTCTCTGGGGAGTTCTGATGGATCTGTGGGTGGAGACCTACTATATGCATTCAGAATACAAAAAAATGAACACCCACTTAAAGTGATGAAACACATTATCAAGGCAACACGGCCTTGGGTACTGTAAACACTAAAAAGGACCTCAAAAAACATACAAGCCAATATTCTTCTTATCCAGAAAAGGGGCTCAAACCCAGAAGAGCTAAATGCTGCTTGGCATGAAGACTGCCCCTCACACCAGGCTCCCTCTCCCACATGGCAAGAAGGGCAGGTGACCATAGCAAGATGACTGCTAAATTCCTGCTGAGATTGGAGCTCTGGCATAGCCATCCAAATGTCATTAAATGAGGGAGGCCACTACAAGACCTTTTCTCCTTACTGCAACCCATAACGTTTTACAATGTACTATCCAGTTTGGCAAGTGAGAGGGTCTGATCTACCCCTCTTGCACCAGTAACACTACAAGCTCACTAGAGAAAAGTCAATCTTATGCATTCTCAGTATACTCTAACCCTCAAAGAGCTCGTCCAACAGAACTGTTTGTGATGACAAAATGTTCTATTTCTGCACTGCTGATACAACATCAGAGGATCTGCATTTTGTACTTCATTTCATTTTAATTGATTTTTATTTAAGTAGCTACATGCGAATAACGGCTGCCTTATTGGACAGCGCTACACCAGAGTGGCTTTTAATACTACTACTTTCACCTGTGGGGCACTGGAAAAAGAGAGGATTCCTTCCTCTGGGGCAGGGCAAGGAATATTGCAGGGAGGGGCATGAAGGAGTTACACAGTCCTCTTCCCCAAGGAACAGACAGGGGTTTCATTCCCAAAGTGCTACCTACAAACTTGCACCAAAGAACAAGCAAAAGATTTCCTGAAAGAATCATAGGATCCATGTCAGCACACATCTTGAAGGTGTCAGGCAAATTAGCTTAGCCAATCCTTTACATAGATGAGGAAACTGAGGCTCAGAGAAATTATGTAAGTCGCTTTAAAAATCACAAATCATGGAGCTGGAGGTTGCCTGAATCTCAGCCCACGGCTGTTTTCACTACAACTTGTTTCCGCAGTGGATGACAAATCTGTAGAATCAGCAGGAGAAACTGAGTTGTTCTCAATGCAATGCCTACGAGGCACAGCAGAAATAAATTACTGACTCATGCCAGAAAGAAAAGGATCGCCACAGCTCCATTATAAATGCAGACACAGTTCAGGAGGAGCTCCCCCACACATATCCTGGGAACTCCCACCAAAAGGGCAGGGATGATGCCAGGACCAGCTCTGATTTCTTCTTCACTTGCTGGAGTTCTCCAATAAAGGTCTGTTGACAGAGAAACCCAGGAATCCACAGCCTGAGATGTTCTTGCTCACCTACACAAAGGGATTAGTCATTTCCACATTAGAATCTTGGAGATGTTACTGGACCAAATGGCAGACTCAGACCCCCAACTCTTAGGAGCAGCCTGGCCCTCATCTGCCCAACCAGCTTTCCCAGGGAGCCCTTCCAGGCCAAGGCCCCAGAACACTGCATCCCAGCCTTAGCTGTGCACCTCTTCCATACAATGCACCTCCTCCTCACCACTGCTCCTTGGTCTCTTTCACAAAGATCTGCCTGCCCTACCAATTAGACTGTGAACACTCTCAGGCAGTAACCCAGCTCTTTCATTCCTTTGTATACCCACACAGCACCTTGACAGTCAAAAAAGTATAGTATTAAGGACAGACCATGACTGTTACAGATCTCTGGAACACATGGGATTTCCTAACAGGACAAAACTTGTTGCCACCTTTATTAAGACCTGAAAGGACTCATCCTTTACAGATGTAAAAGTCTCTGGGAGGCACTGATGAGACGATAGCAGAGGGAAAGATTTGATCACTCAGCATCAAAACTGCCTCCCAGTCTCAAACATCTCCTCTCATATCCCACTAGCACAGCATCTCTGAGGGAACAGCCCCCTCTGCTTATCTGGAAAGGAGAACAACGGTTCTAAGGTGGACATTTATTCCCCCACTGACCTAAACGCACCTCCCTGGATGTGCTGCCGATGTGTTGCTTTGCTTCTTCAGGGAAGCCTTCAGCAGCATACCCCAGGCACTCAGGCCGGGACTTTGTTTGCACTCCCATCAGCACTTCAGCCATACAACTCTTTTGGCACTTGTCACACTACACTGCAATGATTTGTTGACAAACTTGTTTTTCCTTTCCTGTCCCAGTGCAGAGAGAGAGGAAGTCTAACCCCTCATTCATCTGACAGGGCTTGGATTCTGGGCTCCCTGTCTCTCCCCTCACTCAGTCTTCTCACCTGTATTCTAGGATCCAGTTCTTCCTCCTCTCTTGGGGACAATTTGGTCTCACTGCTGTTGCTTCTGCCTCCTCCAGGCTCCTCTTCAACTGGGTTCCTAGGGACTTCATCTTCAACAATCTCAGGCCGCAGCTCCCCCTGTGGGGTTTCCCGCCCGCCTGGAACCTGCCTGAGCTCAGCCATGCTGACTGGTAGAGGGCAGAGCCCTATGCACAAGAGAGGACTGACATGCTGGGACCAGGGCCCCAGCTTGGGGCTTCTTGGGCTCTGGACGGCAAGGGAGAAAGGTTTCTCTTGTCAAAAGGCAGAAAAAGGGGTCACAGGAAGAACCTCACACTTGGTTAGAGGTTGAGATTCAAACTGCCAGTGGGGTTCCTACAGAGATGGCCTTGTCTGGACAAAAGTCCTTCCCTCCCCAGGATGAGTCCGCCAGGAGAGATCCGGAGCAACAGCTCCAAGGCAGGGGGCAAGGGGGGTCCGGATCCTGGGCCGAGGCCTACGAGGAGGAGCACCATTCGGGAGGGCGGAGGCAGGCGCCTCCAGGATGTGGTAGCAGCTGGAGAGTGAAGGCTAGGCCCGAGTAGAGGCAGCTAGATGAGCGTCTCTGGGGAGCAGTAGGGGAAACAAAGGCCAAGTATATGGTCACGCCAGCATCAGAACCTCGGCCACCAGCTACTTTCAACCCCTCACTCAGCCTTTCAGGGACTCCACTCTCCTTCCTCCATACCTCCGTATGCCAACCAGCCCCATCTCAACTTCTTTCCTCATCCCTCAAGGACTTTAGGTCCAGCTATTTCCCCTGCCCTCCCCCCTCCCCCACAAGCGCCTTCTACACTTCCCGCCGTGCTCCCACCCTCTCCTCCATCCCCATTCTCTTCGGCCCATCCCACTGTATCCACGCCCCTCTTTGCAATTCACCTTGTAAACCCCTGGCCCCGCCCCACCTCCTCTCATCGCTCCAACCCTCCGGACAGTCTGAGCCTCCCGTCTCCAATTCTCAATCAATCCCAACGGCCCTGCCCCCCAGCCATCCTACACAAAACCCAAAAACCAAACCCACTGCCGTCGAGTCGATTCTGACAGCTAGGCGCAAAAGCCACCCTTCAAAACCTTACCTCAGTTATCTTTCCGTGGTAAGAGCTCTTCAGCTACAAACAATCTTACCCCTCCCTCCCTGCAACAAGCTGGTCCAATCAACTACGACAGGGCCGAGAGGAAACGGAAATACATCATCATTTAACAACCTCCTCCTGTCCACTCGCCCCTCCCCCCTACTCTCTGCAGTAAACACGGCCTTGTCTGGATTCCCCAACAGTCGCCACTGCCCAGCCTCCGGTTTCCGTACAAAATGGTGCCCCACAGTTTCCGATCCGGCAAAGTTACCTCGATTCCATCCGCAACTAAGCCTAGAAAGAAATTTCTAAAATGAGCGCGTTGTGATGAGAAAAAATAGGGGGAATGATGAAATTTGAGAGTCCCCGGTGGGTAGGGAAGTGCTAGAAATAAAACAGAAATTGAATAATAGCCGTATAGCGAATGTTGCCATATTGTCTTACGGAGTTTGAGGCTCCCGGCAGCTGCAAAGTAACTTCTGACTTTGCCAAGGAAAACTGGCTACAGCCCCGGAGAGAGGCTGGGGATGCCTACTCTCTCGTGTTGGGATGCAAGGTTGTTTTCTAGAAGTGACGTTTCTCACCCTAGTGAAGTCAGCGAGACTCCTAGTAAGCTCCGATAAGTAAACTCTCCTTGAGGCCTCCGGCTAGCGCCATTGCCGGGGCTCCGGAGGCTGCCCCTCCTCGAGCCAGGCCCTCACACACTGAAAGTTATTTCAGTGAGGTAACTAATTGAACTGTGAATATTAATTGGAAACTTAGTCAACATGAGCTAAATACGTGCACTCAGTGCTCAAAAGCCTTTGAGGAGGAGGAATTTCTGTTTGTTGCATGGTCTTCCGTGTCATTACCTGACTCTTAGTGTGAAGGGCCAGACCTGTGCGGAGGACCTGGTCGCCATTTCTTCGTGCCGCCAGGCAAAGCCAGGACCGAGGGCAAAGACTTCAAGGTTGGACGTTTTATTTTTACAAAAGTCTGAGCTTCCTCTGAGCCAGATAAGGTTTGCCCGGAAGATAGAGAAGGCAAATGCGATGAATCCTTCCCTTGGATCCCCACTCTCCATCCCCTCGCCCCATGGGTAACCACATCAAAAAAAGGGGGTGGGGGGAACTAAGCAATAGAGACCAAATATATTCCTTCTAAAAAGTAGATTTTTTTTTAAGAGTTATTTTTTCCGTAAAATTGGACACTACTTTTTTTTTTTAATTTTAGAAGTGACTTTTCTCATTCTAGTGAGTCAGCAGGGCCCTTAAGTAATCGTGTCTAAGCAGACAGCTCTGATGAGTAATAATGAGTCTTCTAATACATTCCTTTTGTTATTAAACCCATTGCCATGGAGTCCATTCCGACTCATAGTGAGTGCCGTACAAAACCAAAAAACCCGTTGCTGTCGAGTCCATAGCCACCCAATAGCGACCCTATAGGACAGAGTAGAATTGCCCCATAGGGTTTCCAAGGAGTGGCTGGTGGATTAGAACTGCCATCCTTTTTGGTTAGCAGCCCGCTCTTAACCACTGCACCACCAGGACTCCAGTACCATATAGAAACCATGAAAATTATATATAGAAGTCATAAACATAATTTATTTGTCCTCTACCAGTCACTTTAGTTTTGGAGAACTGGAATTTCACTGTAATGACCCCATCCTACTCACATTTTCTGTTTACCCAAGCCTGAATACTTCACTCTTTCCTGTTTGGCACTACCCCAACACCTATCATCCTTAACACCGGTGGCACATCTCCCTTTCCCTGTGCATTCAATCTTTAGCAATCATGAGCTCTGAGTTACCACATTTCTTTATTGGATTTGGTGGGAAAATACCATGAATACATATAATGCCCAGACTCCATGGTGTCTCCACTGGCCTGAGGCCAGATCTGATTTAATCATGTATAGATTCTAATATCCTCCAACAGTATTTCTGCTAGGTTGGGATACCGTTTTGGATAGGACAAAGTGCAAGCAGGTGGAGCTGTGTACTGGTTTAACCTAGGCTTGTTTAATTGAAGGCAGCATAAACGAAAACCTGTTGCCATGGAGTCTATTCCAATTCATGGCGACCCCATGTGTTACAGAGTAGAACTGCTTCATAGGGTTTTCTGGGCTATAATCTTTACAGAAGCAGATTGCCAGGCCACTCGGTGGGTTTGAACAGCCAACTTTTAGTAGAAAAGCATAAACCATTTGCACTACACAAGACGTTGAAGCCAGCATAGACATGAATTAAAACTTTACTTCAGAGCAGCACTGTTCAGTAGACCTTTCTGCAGTGATGGATATATTTTATTTCAGCTCTGCAATACAGTAATCACTGGCCACATGAGGCCATTTAGCACTTGAAATGGAGCTAATACGATTAAGGAACTGTATTTTTAGTTTCATTTAGCTTAAATTTTAATTTTAGTAGCCACATGTAGAAGTGGCTCCCTTATTAGATAGTGCAGTTTTAGAACATGCCTTTCCTATGTAATCTCTTCCAGGCATATAACTGATCATTTTCACATTCAATACAAAACAAATGCCTCTCCACTTTGACTTTTGTCTCATTTCTATTCCTCACCTCCCATTTACTTTTGCAGTCTGGCTTTAACTCTTGCCAACCCATTGAAATTACTGAGATGATAGCTCATCTGTGCTCTCAGTATTTGCCCATCACTGACATCTGACACTGGATTATTGCTCTTGTCTCTTATCCTTTGGATTCTGTCCTGGGTTGTTTCTTCTCTGGCCCATTGATTCATTCTTTCTTGCAATATGTGTTTATTGAATGTTTACTATGTGCCAGAATTTCGGATGATGATGAGAGAAAGGACACTATCCCACTTCTGTGTAGCTTATCATCTATGATGCTCATTTTATAAATCGGTGAACTTCAAGCTAATTGGACCACAACCCAGAAATATGTTTTACCTTGCAACCCACACATGTATGTGTAAATATATTCGTAACAAAAGTTTCAGGAAAAGGTCTTTAGCCATCTTATATGCAAAAAAAAAATGGATCTGTTGTCGTTGAGTGAATTCCAACTGATAGCGACCCTATGGGACAGAGTAGAACTGTCGCATAGGATTTCGAAGGAGCAGCTGGTGGACTCGAACTGCCAACATTTTGGCTACCAGCCGAGCTCTTAACCACTGCGCCACTAGGGCTACATCATATACAAAGCACATTAATATTTTTTAATGCTGGTGGAGACCTATTTCATTAATTTCATGACCTAGCCACAGAAAACCCTATCTTAAATGCCAGTGTTCCCCAGGCTCTTATGTTAGCCTCTGACCATGTCATGCTGCCCACCTTCCCTGAGTGCTCTCACCTGTATGCATGGCTCCAGGCCCTACCCAGGACTACTGCTCCTTCCTTAGAGCTCTGTCTCCAAACAGACTCCCCACAGATCACATCCTGAGATCTGGTAGTCTCCCAGACATCACTGTCTTGTCCCAGGGTTGCCTCTCACTCACCGGGTCCAAATCTGATTTCACTTCCTTTTCCCTCAAACCTGCTTCCTCTATACTTACTATGTTGGTGAATAGTTCTACTATCCACCCATTTACCCTAGGGAGAACCTAAAAGACATCCAAAATGCATCCTCCTCTTATCACTCTGCATCTCTTGAAGTATCTCATTCATCGCCTCTTTTTAGTCTTTGCCATTGCTTTAGCTTAATCTCTCCTGACTTCCACCATAGATAATGCTCCTCAAGATTCTTCTAAATCAGCTCTGTCCAATAGAACTTTCAGCAATGATGGAAATTTCTATATCTCTACCATCCAATATGGTAGCTATTAACATTGTGTGGCTCTTGAGCATTTAGAATGTGGCCAGTGGGACTTAGGGACTAATTAATTAAATTTAAATAGCAATATGTAACTAATGCCTTCAGTATTGAATAGCACAGGTCTAAATGATCTACCACGAGTGTACCCCCTCCCAGTCCCTGGCACAAATAGGCAACCAATTCCTATCGACTAAGCTAATGAATGAAATATAAAAATATGAAAGTTATGCAAAGATATTAGCAGCAGCATCGGTTACTAGGTAGTATCACAAATCAATTTCACAGTTAAATTTTTCATAAAATTTTATTGGAGGCTTAATTTCCTTACATAAAACCCATTGCCATCGAGTCAATTCCAACTCATAGCGACCCTATTGGACAGAGTAGAACTGCCCCATAGGGTTTCCAAGGAGCGCCTGTTAGATTCAAACTGCTAATCTTTTGGTTAGCAGCCATAGCTCCTAACCACTACGCCACCAGGGTTTCCTTTCCTTGCAGAAGTACACTAAATTACCCTTATCATTAAAAGCAAGTCTTAAAAAATTTTTTTTCTACCATTAGAAACTACCTTTTTATGTTCTTTAAGTTTTTCTAATCATCAGTCAAATATTTAATAAAGACTACTATCGATTGTTGATTAAACATATTAGTTTACTTAATTTATGGTGACGGAAGGCAGATCAGTGTTTGCCTGGAGAGATGGAAGGGATTACAAAGTAGTATGCAGAAAGTTGTGGGTGGCAGGTATGTTCACTATCTTGATTGTAGTGAGGATTTCATGGGTATATACACGTCAAAACTTTTCAAATTGTACACTTTAAATATGTGCAATTAATTCATTATATGTCAATTATACCTCAATAACACTTTTTTAAAAATTTGGTTGACATTTTGCTCCCATAACATACAATATAAAATCTACCAATAAATGTTAATATATGGGACAGCTTATATTACTAAAAATCCTGAATTATTTCTACCACTGTTAAATACATTGCTCACCAAATTTAATAATAAAAACAATGAACACTTATGTAGCGTTTACCTTATTCTAGTTCTGATTGATTTATATCATTCATTTGATCCTCATAACAACTAATTGAGTTAATTTGCAGCTTCATTTTACAGTTGAGGAAACTGAGGCACAAGGAGGTTAAATAACTTGCCGAAAGTAATACTGCTGGTAAGTGGCAGAGCCAGTCTTTGAACAGCTCTTTAAAGACAATACTATACTGTTTCAATTAAGCTTTATAAAGAAAAAGAGTATAAATGATTTATAATTTTTTAACAACACATCATATGTCAAGTTTAAGTGTATCTACTTATATCCTAAGTATCCTAATTTGTAAAAACTCAAAATATTTTCTAAAGACACTACAAATTTGCATGTGATAACGAGTATTATGTATGCTGCGGTTCTTAATTAATCTTTTACCTTGTACAGTAAAACCTGCGAAAGCCGTAACTGTGTAAGGTGGAAACCTGCCAGAGAAGGAAAACTCAAATATTGTCCACTAATAGAGAGCAATAAAAAAAGTGAAACTGCACCCTACCAAAGACAGAAAACTTCAGAGACCCAGAAAAACAAGGCAGTTCTGTCAAGTTCTGGCTCTCATAGGTTTCACTGTATTTCACACTGAAACTGATTTTTCCCCTGAAAGTTCTGTTTCATGATTTTAAGCTCATTTTCTGTTTATTTTGTGAACTACTAATTCCTTGATGTAAATTT